ATGTGTTGTAGATGTAAGCTGGATATGTGATGTTTTTCCTGTTTCTCATTTCCAGACGGATTTTAACGGAAACAGAAACGGAACTGATCACACAGAAGAGATACAATGACCTGGTTGAACAGCAGAAGAAAGTAGATGCAGAAATTGATGCACAGTTATCTCGACGAGAAGAGGATTTACGACTTGAAGAGGAGGTGATTTTGATAGTTTCTCACATCTTAAATAATTGATTGCTATTTATATCAAATTCTCACCTCGAAAAACTCCTCCCCCACCCCATCTAAATCCTTCAAAAAGTTTATCTGAATGTTTATTAATTCATGCATACATTGGTTTTTTAAGGCGTACTATGAGGCTAAAAGAGAAGCAGCGCGTGTGGCTAAACAGGCCAGACAGATGGAGGTAAGAAAAATTCTTCTGACTTCCTATTTGGCCACCAGTGCAGGCATTTTCTGTCTCAACTTTTGCTCTTATTCAACACCTAATATGCCAGTTTTTGAACCAGGAAGAATGTCAAGGAAAAACTTGCTATGGGTGAGAACATAAGAAATATGTAAATGTTTCAAGGGAAGTTATCTTCAAAAAATTTTCCCTCACAAATCATTGTCAAAGATAAGTTTTCTTGTCTCAGTAGATGTGGTTAGGAATAATTTCTGATAGATTTAGAGGAGTAAATGCTCTTTTAACAGTAGTAAAACTATGCAATAATCCAAGGAGACCCAGAGGCTTGTAGTGGGTAAAAAGGAAGATGAAACAGAAGTTTTGGCTGTATAAAAAACAGCTATCTGCTTATTTACCTTATATTCAATAGGTTCATTAATAATTTTTACTTGTGTAGGAAAATAAAGCATCAAAAGAAAAGGATAAAAGAGTACGCAGAGGTTTCTTAGAAGATTCATCTTTATCTTCTTGGCTGTCAGATGATGGAGTTAGTGTGGACAGGTATGAGATATTCATTGGCGAGAAAGGCCACTTTCTTAGTTGGCCTGAACATGTTTGAGCTGTGTTACAAAGTATGGTTATTTTGGTTTTAAACTGGGTCAGTTTCGTGGTTTTTGGACTTACTGGTAGCTGCATGCCTCTTGAGGGAAACACCCTTTAGCTCCACCCTTCCCCCCCCCCATCCCTTAATCATTTCATGTGTCAATTTTTTAAACATGCTCAGCAAGTTCTGCAGCAAATCTAGCTTGTGAGCAGCCCTCACTATTAGTGCTGCAGGAAGTCCATTTTCTCCACCTGTGGGAAGAGTTTAGGTGATTTAGGGAGAGGCTTGCCAGGGGTCTGACATAAATAATGATTGCTAGACCCCTTGAAGACCTCTTGCTGGTTCATTTTGCTTATTTTTCTAGGATGCAGAGAAATTCTTGTACCGTAGTGTTTTTTTTCTTTTAATTCTGGGGTAAATAATGTTATTTTTTTGCTTCTTTCTTGGTGTGTTCTTAGCAATGATCTCGATGTTGAAGACTTTGACGCCTTTCTAGAGAAAGTAAAAGCACGATCTCTTGGGGGATCCAGTCCCTTCACTTGTAAGTTTGATATTTTGAAATTATGGACTTAAATTTACATCTACAGCTGCTTTTAATCACTACTTTTGAGATATTTCATTCCAATAAACCACACAACCAACTAGAAGAGCCCATCAATCTGGCCCAATTGAAGTGAAAACAGTGTCAGATATCAGGGAGTTTGGGTCGGCTGATTAACTCTCCTTTAGAAGATTGCTTAAATTTTGTTAGTGCAAAGTTTGAATTAACTTAGTGTGTGAATCCTTTTGAAATAAAGTACACATTTGTTACTGGTACCGCAATGGTTCGATTAAATGCCACCCTCAAATAAACACTGCATTTTAGGGCTGAAATATTAATAAATGCCATCCTTGAATTAATCCCACTTCATCATGCAGCATTTATTTGAATAATAGACTCAAAAAGCACACAACGATCAATGCTTCAATTGCAGTTGGAAATTTTGAGGGAACCAGACACAAATCCTTTTGAATGTACCAGCTCTGATGTAGAGAAAGCATGTTCAAAATATCTTTATTCACTTTATGTATTGCAATAGTATTTACATGCAAATTGTGAAATTGAGAACTATATAAAAAATATCTTTTTAGACAAGCACTAAAACATGTTTCTGTTTTTCAAAATAAACACTACCCTTGCATGAACACCACCCTTTAATAAACACCTTACTAGAATCACAAAAAATCTAATAAACACCATGATGTTTAATCAAAGAAATACAGTACTTTTGTCTCAAAGGAGAGAGCACATTTCACCAGAAAGTATCCTTTCATGACCCATTTATCACTTCATATTTTTTTTGTTTTAAGCTCCTACATCAACCTCACCAAATGCATCATGGGAGGATGCTTTAGCTCAGGGAGTTGAAGCCACCAAGATAGCAGGCAAATCCCTGGATGCCCTGAATGGGTTTTCATCTTCAGTTGATTTGGTGTCAGTTAGTGAGAGGTAGCAGTCCTAATTGGATTTTGTTAAAAGATAAATTAAAGCCTCATAACATAATGTGGGAAGCAAGTGATTCATTTTTTAGCACAAGGATATGTTATGACTTATGAGTGAGCCAATTTATTTATGATGAGTCATTATCAAGAGCATTAAGCAATTGGCTCTTTCTGAAATAATCTGTCTGTCACATAGCAAGTGCTAAGAATGGAACATCTTTTATATTAAAATTTTAGCCTGGGAAGTAAGAAATTTGACTAAATTTGTCGCTAAATTTGCATCATGACAAAAGAGGAGGAATTAGTTGTTTTAAAGCTTTGTCATCAAGTAAAGGAAGAGATGTTAAATTCATTTTTACTGGGTTTTTAGTTTTGTAAGAAACCGTCTTGATGTATTGGTTGGCTAGTGAAAGACTAGTTGGTTATTAATCAATTATTCACCAAAGGTGACAAAGAGCAGGTTAAATGAATTTGTCATTTGTAAACTGTTACAACTACAGGAATATATATACATCCTGTTGTCAAATGCATAAATAAAAATAACAACAGAGACACATAGTTATAGGTCACAATAGTAAATTTATTTATGAATTAATTAACAAATTTTGTATTTAATACATCTAATAATCTCCTTTAAATGATATTGGGTGTATTGGAATAATATTAATGGCTATGGACATCCCTATTTAATTTACTTTTTTTATTACTGAGGAATGAGAGCAGAGCTTTGCCCCACATAAATTAACTTTAACCCTTTAACTCCCAGATCAAATTTGTAATTCTCCTTACTGTCAACCATACTCTTCTTATAATGTTAGTTCAGAGAATTTAGCATTGGGTCAACTAATCTCCAAATTGATATTTTTCTTTATTCTCAACACTTGTCTGGTTGATATTGTATTGATATTGTAAGGAGAAATTCTGTCTTGGTCACTCATGGGAGTTGAAGGATTGAGCTTACAGGGCTTACTGCACTTTTCTATTGTTTTATAAAACTTAGGTGTGAAATGAGTTTTTAAACAATCTATACATAAATTTACACTGTTCTTGAAAAACAAAATTAGAAATCAGGATCTTGCTAATTACAGCCAAGAAAGTGACTGATGAAAAATATTACATTCTTGGAAGATTCAGTAAAAAGGTAGATGAAGTTTGGAAGTTAATTAAGTAAATAAATGATGCACCCAAGTTACAAAAATCAAAGAAAACTTCAAAGTATTTTTGTAGCAATTAGAGAACCATTTCACTCTCAAGATATGTGACTTCTTGATACCTGTAATTTATTGCAGATTGCAATGTGCTATATTATGTCTTTTGGTTTGAGAGTCTAGAAAATTTGTTTTGTTCTTTATTGAGACAACATATCATACATGTCAGGATTCTTGAATTTCCTCTTTTTTTCCCAGAGCAATTAATTTTCAGACATTTAGGTATCATTTATCAGTCTTGGGAGTAAAAGATTAATGCAAACAGAACTGTTGTATTATATTGTAACTATGTGGTGACTGTATACTAAAAAATGCAACTTTGTATACCACTAACTTAGTAAAGTTTATATTGCAAACAAAAATTTCATTAATAAAAAGTAAATATCAAACAAGCAAGGAATTTGTTAATTCAATTTTTACATAAATTCTTGATTCGCAATTATACTGGTAAGGAAAATTATGAATAGTTAGCATATCAGAATTCATTTACTTCAAAATGTTGTAAAAACTATTCATAGTGAATTGTGGGTCCAGAGCATCCTCAAATTTGCAATGAGTTAACCAATTTTATGAGCAGATATGCTGGCTGTTATTCAAGCCATTTCATCATTACCGCCTTATAAAACTAATACTATAGTATTTATTAGAGGCTTAAGGTGCAGCTTTTACATCCAGTACATGACAAAAACTGGCTGAGTAATGGTACAACCTGGTACTTAGCCTGTCAGTGGTGCTACATGGTGTGCCTGTGGTGTGATGCTGATGTGTCCTCAGATAGTTTTTCATCACTCATTTGAAGGCCAACCAACCAATCCATTAAACAGATCAAGATCTGTACATGCTTTTATATCAGACTGTAGTTACTGTAGAGCTGGAAGTGTTGATTGAGCTGCTAAAAAATAAACAATCCAGGTAGAGTTTCACATGATAATTCTTGTAAAAGAAAAAGTAAATGGAAAAGAAAAAGAATGTACATGTTATTGTGCAGATTTTTTCTTAGCTTAAAACATTTCATAGGAGTTTGATTTTCATTTGTTATTTGCTTACATACAAATGGTCAGAATTCTAAGACAAAACAATTTTGTCCCTAAAAATGCAAGGTTCCAAAGCTAACAACATACCAGACAGAAAATGCAATTTTTAAGTTTCCTTTTCTAGTGATGGATAGTCAAGTAATTTACTTGCCACGATCTTGTCATAGAATTGGTGATGAAAAAACAAAAGTAATTTGCTGAAAACAAAGGAACAGGAAATAACTGATAAACCCTCACAATCCCCAGTTCTGACAAGTTGATAGTGAAACAATGTAAAGTACCTGATTTCTGTGTTCTGATCCTGGAGATCAGGATCTGTCTGCTGCTCTTGCTTGGCTTCAAGAATTTTGATCTGTACCTGAAGCTCTACACAAACTTCTCTTTCGTCATGAATATTACGGCAGAGTTCTGTGTTCTTACGCTGTTTTAAAAATAGAAATTAAATGTGTCAAATTTAAATAGTCAAGTTAGTGTTGAATTCATTTGGTAAGAAGGTATACAGTGAATTTTAGGAAAACAGGAATTGAAAATAAAATGTAGCATACCTCCAGTTCTGCATTTTGTGCAATAAGCTCTGCCAAAATTCTTTCAAGGTCATCCTCATTTTCCTTTATTTTATGAAGTAAAGGATAAATTGTGACAATTATTTTTATAAATTACATTGTAAAGGAAAAAAACTCCAGTGAAGAGCAATTTTCTGATAAAGTGTGTCATTCACCAACATGGGATAAATTTTTTTCTCTAAAATTCATGACTGTAAGAACTCTGTGTATCAGACAAAACACCCTTAAGTCTTGTGCAGAAATACACCTTGGAATCAGAAATACTCTCAGCTGAAGAGACCAAGGCATCCATGAATATTAATGAGGTTAAAAATGAGGCATAAAAGGGGAGCATTAGCCCTTCACCAGGTGCATATAGGTATTTTATTGGTATTCTTCTTAAAGTGTGTGGTGTTTGTAGGCAGAGATAGAACTACCACAGGAAAGGATACAACTTCACTATCAGATGAATCTGATTCTGAACTTCTGTCTGCAGTGGAGTCTGGATCTTGTTCCCTTACAGCCATAGCAGCTGTCAATTCCATCTGGTTAATGATAACAAACACATTACAATCTCATAAAAAACAAACAAAGAAAATACTAACAATTAGAATATTATTAACTAGCTAGCGAAAATTTCACTTGGTGATCAAACTCTTAGAATAAAAAAGAGAAAAGGTAAGCACTTGTTCAATTCTTTAGCTTGCATATCCTTTGTTAAATATTCTGGCTCATGAAAAGTGGTTTGCAGATTTCCAATCTTTCTTTTCAGGAAAATCATAATTTGTGAATTTCTATACTAGGCACAATCTTGATATTTTCCCAATTACCCTTTAACTCCCAAGATCTAATTGTCAATTCTCCCCTCTAGCTGCTACACATTTCCTTGTAAATTAGTTACCAGAATTTAGTGTTAGATCAAGAAAACAACTTCTGTCCAACACATTTGGGAATTCTCATTACCAGTTTGCTGGATATTGCATGGATATTGAAGGGAGAAGTTACTTGTTAATCACTTCTGAGAGTTAGAGGGTTAAAGCCTTAGTTTAAATCTGTTATTTCACATTGTTGAATGAATACAAGGTTATCCTGGCAGACAACATCAATCTTGTGTAGAGTAAACATAAACAGGTATAGTTGTCTGTTAAAAGGTTTTGCCCTAAAATCTTGGGGTTCTAAGAGTTTGAATGTACACACTTACACTCAATCTTTCAATCTCTTTCCTCTCATTTTCAATCCGTGTCCTTAGCTCATTTCCAATTAGAGTCAACTCCTGCCAAAGAAGAAAAGGAAAATATTTAGATGGCTACACAGATGTTCAATAGTTGGTCCTCTCAATTGTTCTAAGAGAACTTGTTTGTAATCATAAATGAAGCAGCTTTTGGCATTTTCACACTAATTTCTTTATATGTTTCAATCTGTATTTCAACTCGGAGCACTGCTAATTGAAAAAAATAAAGATCAAAATGTTACCATCCCTTACTTCTTGCTCAAGTAAAAGTTCTGCTTCAGAGGCTTCTAAAAGTGCAATTAACCCTGAAAATAGATTTAAAAAAAGATTCAGCCATGTCAATTTAATTTGCTTGGGAAATCAAGACAAAACTTAATGGGGTGGGGAGGGGGCTTCTTTGGCTTGCACTCTATCCTCCACAAGCCAAGAAGAAAGCCAGAGGGGCTGGGTGGGGGCTGTAAGGTGCACTCCACCCTACCCCTTGTCAGGAGGAAGTTTCAACATCACATGTCTCAAAATTTCAGTAATTTTGTTGAAATAAATAACATCAAGAAGTCAAGGTTGGTAAAAATAAAGGCAAAACAGCTTATGACAAATTTGAAACATTTTAACAGATAAACATAAGTTTCTTTCCAGTGAAATCACCCATCATATATGAATAAATTACCATTATCCTCTGCTGGTTTTTCAAAAGGATGTTCTAACTTCTCAACAGTAACTTGAGTTTTCTGGTGTTCCACTGGTTGTGGGGTTTGTGGAATTTTCTTCCTAGCATTCCTAAGCTATGGGGTGAGAAAAAGAAAAGAAAAATTATGTTCTGTCTTGCAAACTAGGAATGATTATGAATATGTTACCTAAAAATATTATAGAAAACCCTGAACCACGTACAGAACCACCCTACTGTAATAATTGGATTGTCTATTTTGCAAAAGACACACAAGGAAGACACTTAGCTCACAGTCAAAAGAACTACCTGATACTCTCTAAGAGATATATGTTATTATGTTTAACCCTTTAACTTCCAGAAGTGATTAACATGTCAGTTCTCCCTATAATATCCATAAATTCTCCAGTAAACAGGTAAAGAGAATACTCCAACTTATCAGGTGGAAGTTGTTGTCTTTATGTAACTCTAAAATCTTGTAACTAATTTACAAGGAAAGTTAAAGCAGCAAGAAGGGAGAATTAACACTCAGATCTTGGGAATTAAAGGGTTAATAGTTTAATAGATACCTTTCTCTTGAGAAGGGTCACCTTCCGTTGGACTTCCCAGAGCATTTCATCTTGACCTGCAAACTGTAACACAAACAAACACTCCGTGCAGTAAATTAACAAAATTAACACAGGAATTGTAACTTACAGTAATTAGCATCATTCCCAATGACTTTTTTTTCCCATTCGATATCCACAGCAAGAGTAATTGAAAGCAAAGACTGTGTTATATTTGATCAATGGAACCTATGGGCTTAACATGACATCTCATCCAATGGAGAGTAGCAGTACTCCTGTGACCCACTTAAAGGTTGAGTGCAAAAATAATCAATGTCATATTAAGATTTAAAACTGAAGTAAGTGTTACTTACCTGCAAATTGTCTGTTTTCATGTTGAGATCTTCATGAAGTTGAGAGAGAACTGCCTCTTGTTTGGCCA